ATTTAATAAAATTAATTTTTTTAGTTGTATAGCATTAATAAAAACAGTTGTCAGATCTTTTTCTGCAGCCCATGTAAATGAAACATTAAACAAAGAAAGTAAGAATATATAATAAAATAAATAATATATAATAAAATATGTTTTTAATAAATTTTTTATTATTGATAATTTTATTAACTAAAATATTTTAAATATATTATATATAATTATAATATACATAACCTTTGTAATGTAATAGGTTAAGAAGAAATAATAAAATCTGTAAAAGGAGAAGAGGATAGAAAATATACTATGGATTCTAATGATTAAAACAATTAGTTAATGTTATAAACCTATATTTCAAATTTTTATTCTAATGTTTTTCCATAAATGGAAATTGTCTCTCTATAAGAATATGACTTATATTTATGTTACAAAAACATATATAATGTTTGAATATGTATTTCAATAAAGTTATTCCAAATGTTCCAAATTTTGTTATTTATAATTAAAAATTATTATTAAATAAATTATAATAATACGGAAATTTATATCAATTTCAATATAATTTTATATTTTTTCTAAATGATTTTTTAATAATAATAAGGATTGAAAGTTATTTTTTAAATTTTCCTATTTTTATCCATATATTTGTTTGTATTTTAATAGTTTATTTGTATTTTTTAATTAAATTTCAAATCCAATGATATAAATATAAAAATGTCTTTCTAAAAAAAAAATATTTTTCAATTATATTAAAAAAAATTTTTTAATTTTTATAACTTTAATAATTCTAAAGTTTCAATAATTATAAAATTATTATAAAAAATTTTAGTGAAATTTCAATTATATATCTTGAATATTTTAAGCTTTATCCGCAATATTTAAATCCTTGTAATAGTCGATTGTAATAATCGAAAGAAAAACTCGAAGTTCGAGTTATGAAATCGAATATGCTTCGCATTGGATGCTTTTACGAACCTTTCCGGGAGCTCTTGCTCGGTGGTGTGTCCGTGGGAAGAAGTTCTGCGGTTGCACCAGGTTTTTCCGAGATTTTTTACGAAATTAAATACGAATTACGAGTTAATCAACAGGCGTATTAATGTTCTCTCGTAACTCTTAAGCAGTTACGATTGAACAAACGAATGTTCTTTTTCGATATTTTTAACGGGGAATCGGTCGCGAGAGAATCCGACAAGCACTGGTCACAACACGAACGAAGCTTTAATTTTCATCGATCGATTTGACTGATTTTTGAGATCCAGTCACCGAAAACTTCCATCATTCCGTCAAAAACCGAGTGCCGACCCGCAGGGTGGCGATCATTTGATAAGGTATGTATACTAATGTATATTTGACATCGTCTTTCCGAGTACTTACATCTTGCATGCTGTCACGTGAAAATTTTAGTTATCGATGAGTCACAACGTGGTCTTTGTAAAGATTGTACAAGCTTTTTGTCATGCAATATGTTTAATAACAGATTAAATATTATTATACTGATAGATGATGATTTTTTTTAATTATTCTCGTAGAATATTTCCTTATTATGCACAATTGTTTCGTCAATTTTCCGTTGTAATTTTTTCATTATTTATTATCTTATATTTCATTTATCCTTTTCTCTTTTCTGAAATTAATTGACTTGAATCCAAATTATTTATTTAATATAATAAATATTACTACACAATAATAAAACTTATTTTGCAAACATTGTATTATCTTGTTACTTGCTAACATTATGTTTGCGGAGCAGTTTGTATTTCGATGCTATGTTATTTTAAAGTTACTACTACCTAAGTCGGCCTGATATTTCCTGCATAAGCTAGTAAAATTATACTGAAATGTAACAATTTTATTTAAAAATTTCACTTTATCAATCAAGAGAATTTTTTATTCAACAGTGATATTGTAAGTATTATTGGATTAATATTTTTTTTTAAATTGAATTTTTTGTTTTTATAATAATAATATTATAATAATAATACATAATAATACATAATAAATAATATAGTATTTTTATTTCAAATAAAATAGACAATATGTTATATTTTTTAATACATATTGTGTAATTGATTATTTTAAAAACTGTTATTGAATATTGAATGTTATTAAATATCTTATTGAAATTAATTATTTTATAATTTTTAATATAATTAGTATTTAACGTATATTTAACATAGTCAAGTTGTATTTTTTAAAATTTATATAAATTTTAAACAAATTTTGTTATATAAAATTTATAATTGTTTTATATTGTTTTATATTTGTTTTATATTTGCTCAATTAGAAGTACTATAAGTATTAATAATGATATAGTATAATGATATAGCACGCACCTATTTTAACTATGAATATATTACAAAGATTTTATCAATTAAATGTCAACTGATTGTGATGAATGATTGTAATCTATAATTTTCAACAGCAAAGCACATAGATTAAATATAATATTTCCATGCCCCCCAATGAAGACTTGATCTCTAAATGGCTTGTATATTACCCCTCCATATTCAATTGGAATTGTGTAAACCATGTATTCCTTGGCCGTCAGATAAGCTTTGTTCCATGAAGTAGAGTTAGTACCACGCAAAGGCTGCCTGATAGTACTTATCTTTCTCGTATAAATAGTGGTTCAAATAGTTAGTTCAGGTTCAGTATTTTCTTGTGCTCTTGATTGTTTATAGTACTTGTTACATTAACCACATTTTGAGTTACCACAGGAAAAAAAGCATAATAGTTTTATTTTTTATTATTGTTTCTTTTAAATTATTACAGAAATAGTCATTTTATAAAGATATAAAAGTTTTCCAAATTTAGATTCTATAATTTTATTGTTATAAAGTTTTATAAAAGCTACGAGAATTACTTTTAAAAGTCAGGTAAGTGTATCTATTTTAAAAAAAAAGTTATATTTATTTATTGAGATAATTATATCATTTTAGATTAATAAACTTATTGGTTTAAAAAATGTTATATTTAAGAGTTTTATAAAAAATTTATTCAAATAAGATTTAACATATTTAAAAATTTATAAAAGTTAATATAGAATTTATAAAAATATTTTAATATAATCAGGTTTAATTTCATATCTTCGAATTCTGGTAAAAAATTCATTTAATTAATACTGATAAAATTTGATAAGATAATTTTGGGAGTGCAAGAAAATATGACATGTGCTATTATATGTATTGATAGGTACAGATTTAATTATATATATATATGTTTGCATATTGTATATTATTTCTCGAAGAGTATAAATATAGTTTTATATTTAATGTGTTTTAATACATTTAGTACATTTTTATTTATATTACTTTATTTTTATTTATATTACTTTCAAAATTTATATCATAGACAAATCTATATAAATAATAAATTACAAAAATATAATTTTTTATGTTATATGAAATGAATTAATAAAGCATTTTTTTGAAATTTAGCTTTAATCCAAAAAATTTCATAAAAATTATATTTAGTTATTAATGAATTGATTTAGAAATTTTTTAAAAAGAAAAAACTATTGTAATATTATTATAATTATTATAACATTTTTTTGTTATTATATTTTAATAATATTTTAATAATTAATTGATTGATTAATTTTTATAATTTATGCACATTTATGTATAAGAATTTTTTTAATGTATCAAAAAATAATCAGAAATATTTTTTAAATTTATATATTTATAATTGTTTTATTTTGTTTAAAATAGTGTA